TTAGAGTTTGAGTGATGCATATACAGTATCTTTGCAATTACACTGTAGACACTGTTGTCATCTGAAGTGAATCTGTGTGTTTATGTGTGCTTGGCTGTGTGTGTGTGTGTGTGTGTGTGTGTGTGTGTGTGTGTGTGTGTGTGTGTGTGTGTGTGTGTGTGTGTGTGTGTGTGTGTGTGTGTGTGTGTGTGTGTGTGTGTCCTTTTTTCCTTTTTCTTTTTTTTTTTTTTTTTTAGCCGTAGGCTCCTTGAGCGGATTACAAGTTTTAAAGAGTATGAGATTCAACACCTCCTCAAATCTGACACTCTGTGACACTGCTTTGAAGCCATGAAAGTGAGATTGGAAAGACATGGAAGCTCTTTTCTCTCCACAGAGTCGTGGGTTTATGTCATTGGGTTTAGGCCAGTTAAGTTCCCATTGAAGCGTTATGCCCCGGCGTGAGAGACAAAGCTGCCACTTAAAGCTTTTGACTTGTATCTTTTTTATGACTCTGAAATGACAGTTTTAATGGCCTCCATACTATTCAGTTGTCAAACTGTGTATAAAACTATGTGACGTTGTTTACGTTTGTCCATCTCCGTCCGGGGCAACAGGATGACCCAGTGGTTTGCTACCTTTAAACTTTTTACCCCTGAGTCTGGAATTATCCACACTGCTAAAGTGTCCCTACGCCAAGGTGCTTAAGTCCTAACATATCCAGGAGTGCTGTTCAGTTTCTGATGTTGATCTGAAAATGATGTTATACTTTTGTCCACAACATAATTGAAATAATAAATATTAGTATTGTAATCCAAGTGTGCTGGAAACTGTGAAACCATCGTAGAATGTTTTTAACTTAACATAAATGTACCTTAACTTGTCAAGGCCATGTCTAATGTTGGTGGTAGTATACTGCACCCATTGTGACTCAATACCAGTTTGCTGAGTCTCTAAAAAGTATTTTAAATGACTTCCGAACTTAGACACTAGAGTAGATTTTAGTCTAACAGCAACAATTCCCAACCTGGCTACAGAATTGTTCTTTTGCTCAAGACCTAAGATCGACCTGTGACAATTTAATAATTTTCCATATCGTGGTTTATCCGCTTTACCCATGATTCCAGATCTCGAATCACATTCCTACCTTTCCAGAATTACATTGCTGACACCAGAAATCTTCCCCCTGACGCCAGCACCAACAGGAACCTGGATGCTCCCATTTCCAGGTTCCTTCCTCCTATCTTGTCATTCAGGCATTGTAGTGAGCTTAACCCCCCTTCTTTCTCTCTCACATCCTTTTCCCTTCTTCCATTTTTTTCTTTCTTTGCCCTGTCGGATGTATGTTGTTGACACTGAGGCATCAGGAATAATGGAATCTCTTGTCAGTGGCTTGTATTTTTCGCCCAGGCTGTTAGGGCTGTGTATAATAGTAGCAGAGGAGGAGGAAGTGGGGAGGTTATGTGCCACTGATAGTAATGAAGGTTGCCTTTTCATTTTTTAATATGGAATGTTTGTGGGCCGAGGCAATGCTCTCCGCTAATCCTACCCTCGAGCCGAGCTAGCTACATGGCTGTGTCAGTGTTACACACACACACACACACACACACACCCAGTGACATTCACACAGACAGATAAAAGACAAACACACACACACACACGCAATACATACATGTGCACACCTTCCTCTAGGCAAGACAGCAAACTGTTTGATAAGTCAGGGTGCATTTCTGCTCCTCATGAAAATTTCACTCCTCCCGTGTTTGTGTCTTAAGGAAATGCAGCCAGTTCCTGTAGAAGGAGATATGGTATTTGTTCAATATTTGATGGATATGAAAGCTTGAGAGTGTAGATGCATTTGTGAACCTTTATCAGGACGGTGCATAATGGAACAGTCTGGGCTGGCAATTGGGAAAATTACATCAGTGTGGGTTGTGATGAACGTGGGGTCACTGCGAGTCAGGAATAAAGTAAAGAATGGTTATTCTCATTGATGCACGTATTTATTGAAATGACGCATTTGCTCGGTTTAACAGAGGCGTTTAAAGCACCTTAAGTTGAGTACATTTTCTCAACACACTGTGCTGAACTTCTGTCCTCAGCATTAGTGTGTGTGAGAGTTTTTTTTTTTTTTTTTTTTTTTTTGCACCTTATTAAAGTGCAATTATGGTGCATGTTTATTTGTTGGCTCAGACACCTGTATGTGGAGAGGTGGGTTGGTGTGCATAAGTGAGCGAGCCTTAAAGTCTGTGTTTCCCACTGGCTAATGTATGTGTTTTTTTTCCCCACTAGCTGTGTTACCGTGTGTGTGTGTGTGTGTGTGTGTGTGTGTGTGTGTGTGTGTGTGTGTGTTTTCCGCCGGCTAGGGTGTAGGGTCTGCGGCACTGGAGTGTGCTGTGTGTCTAATTGCTTTAATAGCACCTGGTCTCTAATCCCAGGTAATTAGGGCGCTCAAATTAGACAGCTACTTTCAACCGTCACTTGAAAAAGCAGAAAGGGAAGGCCTGGAGGAAGACCACTCCACACTGAAACTCTGCAAACCCACACACACACTTTTTTTTTTTAGTGACACATACACAAAGAAATGGTGGGAAAAGCAGAAGACAACTGGAGAAACAAGTTTCGCTCAGTGGCCTCAAATTTGGGCATGTGAGGAAAATGTAGAGAAATGTATAATTTCTTTTGAAGGTCTTTTAGTCTGAGGACCAACATTATGTCAGATTAGTCCGTGACATATTTATGTAAAGTGACAAAATTATATGGATGAGCTCCAAAAACAATTCCTTGTTTACTGCACATTGACCTCTCTCCACATCCCCATACAATAATTGTGAGCAAGTTACAATCGCTATTGACTTTCTGACTTTTTATATCTTTTTTTTTTTTTTTTTTTTTCCCCATTTGTTCGAGCGGCACGCAGGCATTGTCGAGGCTGCCTAAAACGTGTCTGGAGAAGCTGTGGGGAAAGGTTAAGGCCCTCTTTTAAAGATGAGCCGGAAATGTCAAGTGTCCGCCCCTCAGGCTCCTGCTACCGTCTCCCTGTACTGAGACTGCCATAGGGGCCTGTATGACACACATACACACACACACACACACACACACACACACACACACAGTGGTACAAAGGTTAGGAGTTGCTATTAGAGATGGCCTCCAGTCTCTTTCATCTGTTTTGGCCCTTGTGGCATCTCAGCAAGCTTCAGGCTCGCGGTCACAGGTTAAACCACAACAATAGATGAGCAAGAGGCAAGAAACATCCAGGTGCTGACAGACTACAGCTAACTTGCTCACGCTGGTCTAGCACCACTCTTTTGTTTATGCCTGTTGACATTACAAACCAATATATTTTAGAGCCGTGAAATCTATCAGCGGCAAGAACATCCAAATATCTAAAAGGCTGAAAATGATTATTAGACAGAGGACAAAAAGTGTACAAAGTAGACGTTAAGTCTTTCTTTAAATTTCCTACACCCCTGCAAAACCTTCTGCAAGTTGTCATATGTTCTGCCATAGACTTAATCTTACTCAAGCCAGCAAACCATCACTCAGCATTTCTCTTTCCCCAAATTCAAATGACAAATTTGTCCTAAGTCTGGCCTCCCATCACTTCTGTGTTTCCTCTTCTTCTTGCAGTAGCACAAAGCCACCAACAGAGGGGGTTGGTTGGCCACCACAAGCCTTGTTACAGGGCTGAGACTCAGGCAGTCACATCGCACAGAGCTTTATTTTCTCCAGGCCTTCACTGTGTCTTAAAAACTGGGTTAACCCGCTTTGGTGGTCAATATCAGTTGTTGTAAAACTAACATCTCTCTCATTCACTTTTGCACTTTCTAAAGGTTATGTAAAGGTTTGGCTTTGACCTACTTATGCAACCATCTTGTGCAGTGGAGAAGAAATATCATCAGCTGGCTGTGAGAGAAGCATCATGGCACCATTTTTTCATATTACAACTGTCATTTAAGGGAATATTGCACAGGAAATTACACAATCAAAAGAGTAGACATGAAACATTAACTCCAGATTCTGAAGTCTGGAGTCTGGTCTTCAATACTTTTCAGAAAAGAAGATTTTGTCTTGTGAGATTTATACTGTATATTCTCTTTAATATTCACATTAGTCAGTGTTTAAAAGTTCATCTTAATTTGTGTAATGGTATAAAAGCCTTTAAAAGTCAAATTAAGCTTAATGAAACACATGGTATCATGCAATTAAGAGAATCTGTCTTATTAGTCATGTGTTAATGTCATTGTCTAGCATACAACAGTAATATGCACTTGGATTTTGGACATATTTCACAGTCGTTTTTTGATCTCCAGCCTCAAATGAATTCAATCAAATCTCAGTGACATTTTTGCCATTTTTCTCCCCTAAAATGATCTGAGAGAATTAATCCATATCTGTCGCTCCACAACCAGATTAGTGAATAGCCAGCTGAATAATCAGAATAGCATTGGTTCTGCTGGCCATCAGAGGAAGACCAGTGTCTCCGTGCCACCAAGGATTTGTGGGATTTGGAGTCTGGGAGAGGAGAGGCTCCTAATGGTGAAAGCTTTCGACCCAGATAAGACTTCAAAGGCGGAGCTAATTAATAAGATGTTTACATTATCCACGGTCATACGCTGCTTTGTGAATGACCCTTCATTATTCCGTGTGTCTGCATGTGTGCGTGTGCGTGCATGTGTGGGCTCATTGTGTGTCAGTATGGCATGCTAATTGGATGGATGGGTGGAGGTTTGCTAAGTAAAACACTTTTTTTTTAGAAATAGATAGTGAAATGAGCTCAGACTTGGAGGAAGGGGGGGGGCAATTAGAGCAGTGATCATTTATAAGCAATGATTTATTGATTGGATATCAACATGTTGCATCAGTACACTTAAAATTGTGAAGATGAAATAAAAACAAATCTTTCTCTTTCTCCTTCCCTCTCTCTATACTTCCCTATCTGTGTTCCATGTCCAATCACATCCCTTTAAACTCTCCTCCTCCTCTTCCTCTTCCTCCTCCTTCTCCTCTCTGCCCTGCAGCCCAGCCCCGTCCCAAGTCCGGTTCTGGGAGGGAAGCCGAATGCCAGCCAGTCTCTGCTGGCCTGGTGTCGCGAGGTCACCAAGAACTACCGCGGGGTGAAGATCACTAACTTCACCACCTCCTGGAGGAATGGGCTGGCCTTCTGTGCCCTGCTGCACCACTTCAGACCTGACATAATGTACGAAACACACACACACACACACTGAAATGTTTTTCTCACAGCATAAGGGCTGGAATTGAGAACAGCAAGTCATATCTGGGTGGAAACCAGGCTGTTCATCCCTTCTAGAAAAAAACAAAATCATGAAAGAGTCAGGATTTTTAGATCTCCAGAAGGTCAGGTGAAAGTCTTGTATATTCAAATTAGATAAAGACTCTTCTGGTAACTTGGTGTCGTATTTGCACAGTTACCCTGTCATCATGCCGTGGCCTTGTATCCATCATTCCTGTCGGTGTGTTTGATTAAGATGACAGATGTGTACACACTTGTGCACGCAGACTCAATCTGTCATACTCATATTTGAATACAGAGTTGCATGTTTGCTGCCAGCACTAATCTCATTCTTGTGTGTGTGATTGTAATTCTGTGTGAAAATTTTGAGTGTGTGTGTGTGTGTGAGACAGATTCCTTTTAATGTTTAGTATTAAATGTGTGTATGAAACACTCAAAAGTACAGCATATGGAAGACCTGCAGCCCCCATCAAGAGGGCAGACATGATGATAATTTATCTAAACCCTCCTCTGTGTACATGTGTGTATGTGTGTGTGTTTATGCTTGTGTGCCTTTGCACTCTGGTGTGTTATTTTTACATATTTTCCACTCTATTGGTTCTGTTGATTGCACTGCTATGAAATTGCATGTTACAGTTCTAATGCCATTACATGTGACGCATATTTAAACACACCTCTTTCTCCGCTGTCTCTCTGTCTCCCATTTTCTCTCTCTCTTCCTCTGCCTGCCTCCTCTCCGATCCTCCCCACTGTTCTTCCAGAGACTACAAGTCGCTCAATCCTCAGGATATTAAAGAAAACAACAAAAAGGTAAGAGGCAGCCACTGCTGGGCCCTTCACACCACTTAACTCCCTCCCATCCACATCTCCATTTGGCCTTATTTAGAGATCTGCCATTAATCCCTGGATATAGAGTGTCAGTGTGTTTATGTGGTTTGAGGGGGAGAGACGGACATAGATGAAGGCAGGCAAATGCGTGTACTCAAAATCACACACATGCACTACAGTCAGAATGACAGTTTTCATAAGACCCCCCCACCCCCCCACCCCCCGCTGTGATGTGTGTGTCCAAAGTATGACTGAGTCACCTGGCAGAGGTGAGATGGTATCTTAACTCGGCAGCCTGCTGGGAGCTTACTAAACTGCTTGTGTGTGTGTGTGTGTGTGTGTGTGTGTGTGTGTGTGTGTGTGTGTGTGTGTGTGTGTGTAATAAGAACATACTTGTCTTGTGTTGATTAGACTTGGGGGGGGGGGTGTGCATGTGTTTACTGGTGTGTATTAACTGTTGTCCATGTTGGCTTGAGTATGACTGCTCTTTTGTTTCAGGCTTCTTCTCCATTCTCTCCCACACATCTGCACACACACTAAACTGAATCACCCATTCTCTTCATAAAGAAAACATACACACACCTATATTCCTCCTCGCCCTGTGTCATCATAACTGCACATTCACAGTTCGAGGTGCACACTCGCACACATCACCATTTTCCCTTTGTCCCTCTGGCTCTTCGTGTGCTCATTCTCTTTTTCCAAACACACAAATGCACACTGCTGTTTCCCCCGTCTACTCTGTTACTACACACTCACACACTCGTATACACACAGAGGCCCTGTCCCCTCTCTGGCCCCGAGGGCTACACAGAACGATATGCGTCGGGTTCCTGCAGCTTGATTTCCTCTTCTCATACACACTCTGGCTCAGCGATAACCTCTGGTGGCCCTGTTAGGCATGAATGCTACCCTGTTGACAATAACCATAGTGGAGGAAAAGGGAGAGACCCAATCCCATATCTGCTAACTGCCCCTCACCCCCCTCCAGGTGCTCAAGTAGCCCTGAAGAAATTGGTTAGATATAAGTAATATGGGAATATGCCGTAGAAGGTGATAGCTGGTGAATAGCTGCAGCACTGTACCCAGTGTGCTACAGCTAGCTTCTCTGTTGAGATCTACACCTGGTGAGATGAACATTTCTAAGTAAAATGTATGTCCATGGCACTTTTCACAGAGTGCTTTACAGAGCCACATAAAAAGTACAAAGTGAAATCACAGCGCACAGTAAAGCAAGCTGTTCCTTTGCAGTGATTAAGAGACACGAGTAGACATCACCTAACACCTCCTGCTAGTGCACATGCAGCCTGCAAGAACCTGGGTATATACTGTGTGTACATAAGTAACATGGGCGATGTGCCAAACAAGGTATTAGCTAGTAAATGTATGTCTAGGTCTCGTTACATCTGGAGAAGCTGGGCTGTGCATGCCCAGATTTTTTTTCCCTTCTGCAGAGGTGTCAACAGAGAGAATCTGAAAGTGTCCTGAAAAGTTTCTAAATTTAAAGCCTCAAATCCGAGTTTCACGTTATATCTTTAAAAGAAATCCATTTCATGAATAGAGCAACATATGCACACTTAGTTTATAACACATCCTCCGTCTCTTCATGTGTCCTATTTACTGGTCTGACACTTGAAAATAACGTAGACTGTAATCGTAAAGCTGGCGAAGTCAACCAGAATCTAGTTTGATGCAGATTGTTTTATTAATCAGATGAGAGAACATCAGACAGTCGAAGGACAAGGATCTTAGATAAGTAAAGCGCTCAGCTATTATTGGTTCATAAACAGTGCAAACAGTGAAGTGGCTGATTCTTAGAGATTTATCTGCGAAGGAAAAAAATATTTGTTTGACGAATGTTTTTTTTTTTTTGCTGCATGAGTCAAACAGACAATTTGTGCCACTTTATTTTGGTTCTTAGGTTAATCTCCATGTGCAATGACAATAATATCTGCACATAACCTGATTTGTGCTTCGTGAGAGATGTGATTGATGTTTCCAGTAGTGCCACATAACTGTAAAGTGAATGACGCTTGGTATTGTAGGTGATTTGTGATTGTGAAAGCCTGTGGGTTGTGGCTAAAAGGAGAGAGTAATGCATCGTGGGGTGTCATGTAGCACATTGAAGGTGTTGAACAAGAGCAGGGTGCCTGTGATACTGCCTGCAAAAAAAAAAGAAAAAAGACAGGCCTCTCACACCAGGCACAGGTGAGGATAGCACAGTGTGGCAGGTTAAGGACCCCAAAGAGCAAACAAGGAAAAAAGGACTGAAGAAAGAAAATGAGAAAGAGGAGTAAAGAAGGAAATGAAATGTTTTGAGGGGGAAATCAAAAAAGAGGAGGATGAAAAGAGACTTCTTCCCCATCCACAGCGTTGCATAGAGCTGCTTCGTGAAGTTATTAGAATGTATAGAATTTATTGAATGGCCGGCAGAAATGGAAATGTATAGAAACGACAACTATCTCTGCTTTTCATGGCTAGTTGATAGACATGCCCCCTCCTCCTTTCACAGTCTATCTGTGAGGAGTGATTGCAATGAGCTCAGACTGTGCTGAATTATGACAGATAAGGACAATCAATATTGGGGGTGGGTGAGGGTGGGGGGGGGAGAAAGAAGTGAATATTTAGAACATGTACAGCTTTTGAAATGATCTATTATCAATGGATATTTGTGTGTTTGATAGTCTGTGGATGATTATAGACGTATTCAGTCTGTGTGTTGAGAGCTCTGGTGTGTATGGACGGCTCACTCCTCTGTCTTGCTGTTTTGTCACTGTGCTGTTATGTGTGTGTGTGTGTGCGTGTGTGTGTGTGTAATGAGGCCAAGGAGAAGTCATTTGTCATGCCATCTGATAGTGTAGCACCAAGCACCAGGCTAAAGCACCCTGAGCACAGCCATGAGGGGTTGGGCCGAGGGGGGGGGGGGCGTAGATGATTGACAACGATAGATAGCTGTCAGTCACTGAGAGGGGGGGGGCATGGAGCAGCGGCCTGGGGCAGGCGACAGTGACATTTAGTCCAGACCAAAAGCTTTGTCAGGTGGATGATGGAAAGTGAGAAATCTAGGTATTTTCCAAAATACATGATCTTCATATTGAACAAAAATGTTGCTCCAGTCGGCGCAGAGAAATACTGAAGATGAAGATGAAGACAGGCTGGTTTCAGATGTTACTGACCAAGCATTAGGGTGTCAGATGTAATCATGATCATGTAAAACAATAATCTTTAATAAGGAGACACATCATGATAATCACATAAGTGATTGATTGCGATGAGCTGTTTTTCACTGTAATCCTTTATAACAGACAAGCATTCAATCATATTTTTGTGTGGAAATAATACAATGATAGTGTGACTCCATTAAAACTTTGTAAGAGATAATGTAGAATTATTGCCCAGCATGCTCTGCTCTATACAGACTATCCCTTTGTTCCGTAGAGCTCCATTGCACAAACATACAGACACCATCCTGCTGCCATATAAACTCATTAGGAAACCAAATCCGCAGCTGAAAATAGTCCCCAACAAATCAATATTTACGCCTGTTTGAATATCTTTTGCTAATACCTACAGTCACCTCCATTTTAAGACATTATTTAGAAAATGAAAGTGAATGTTTGTGATCCCTTTTTTTAAAGAATAACGTATTAGTTTAGCCAGCATGAGGCTGAGTGCCACAGACTGGTTAGGGAGATGTATTCAAGAACGGACTACAGCATTACTGGTTCTGATATTTTCACGGATTTGCTGACATTAACAAAAATACCGCCACCCTTATTGTTTAACTGCAGTGGGCATACTTGAGTTGAACCCACTGTAGGTTACCACCACAGAAAACAATTCCCCTGAAAACAACAGGTCCTCCCTCAGTAGTCATCAGTGTCTCAGTGTGACATGATCAGTGCTCGTCAAGCTATGAGAGAAGATGTAGTGAAGAATAAAGCATGACACTCGGGTCAAAAAGACTGTAGTACACGTCAAGACTAACATTGACCCTGAAACAAAACCCAGCTCGAGAGCTTCCCTCCCTCCTTCCTCCTCACACAGCTCTCACTTTCTCCCACTCTCACTCTTTTCTCTCTCTCATTCTTTCACTCTGTCCCCATTGAGCAGCAAAGTTGTCGCTCTCTTTCACAGCCTACCCTGGGCGAGAGGGGAACAATGCAAGCACACTTTGCTCCCCTGAATACGTGTTAGAAACCCAATCAGGCCCTCTTATTCCCCATATTCTTTTTCTTTCTTTTCTGTCTTTCGTTTCTCTTTCATACTCCCTCTCTGCCAGGCAAAGGAGGAGGGGGGGGGGGGGGGGGGGGGGGGGGACTTAAACAGGCTCGCTGTAAAGGCAAACTCCTCTCTGTTCTCTCTTTTCTTTTTTCCCGCCGTCACTTCTTTCTTCCTGCCTTGTCTTTGCAGGTACAAACACATAAACGCACGCACACACACACGCACACACACACGCACACGCACACACACGCATACACCTCATTTCCCTGTGTGAGTATAGATGTTCCACCCATTGTTGCCCTTTCCATCAATAGAAAGGGACAAAAGAGGTGAGAGTGAAAAAGATTTCTCCGAACAAAAGACATCATAATTGATTGTAAATTGAGAAATATCTCTCAGTTAAAAGCCCCACCTCCTTATTCTCCATTTCTCTCTCTCTCTCCATTCCCGTGTCTCCACTTCTCTCTCTCGGTTATAGAGACAAGTACAGTTGGAGCAATGAGATTAACTACATTGACTGGGGTTTGTAACTGGAAGCTATGTCCGAAATCACTTCCTTGTTCCTTCTGCTACACAATGAACACAGCAATTTACTGTATTGAGCGGTAAACTGAGATTTTAAACACTTGATTTTGTGGTGTCACTAACAGGAGCAGTGTTGCTAGTTTTGCGGCAATCCCACTGTGAACACCCACAACGTCATTGTGATTAATAGTTCAGTGTTAGATAGATAACACCACCGCAAATACTAGATGGATGTATTTTTAGCTCCAGGCGAGACTGTCTGAAACTGTGCGCCATTATCCACATATTTAACCTCACATCTCCCCTCTCTCTATGACATCCAGGTTTTCACCATGACGTTCCAGTGAACAAGTATAAACACTTTTGCCTGGTCAGATAGCACATCGTACGAGCTAGTTCCTTTTCTGGCTTCACTCAGCCCTTAGAGTTCAGAGACAGAAAATATGGCGCACAAGGTATCACATAGAGAGTCCTAACAGCCTCAGCACACACATTCAGTGTCTTCCATAGAAGTTGCAGCTGAGGAACCCTTGAGCAAAACGCTAAACCCATCCTTAAAGTTGCTCAGAGACCATCACTTGAGACAGTAGTGTTACAAGGGAGCTCCCACATCTGTTGGATGAATGCAAAGCAGGGATTTAATGAAAAAAATCACACATGCTCAATAGACCCCCTTCCCTGGATAAATGAAGATAGGAAAATATGTAGGGGGAAGAAAGAGAAGGACTTATATTGAAGCAGGACAGGGCTGAAAAAGAGCGAGCAGGCTCTTCAAGACAATCCCTGGGATACATAAAGGTTAAAATACATGCAGGAGTGTTTGGGAGTCAGAGAGGGAGACGGAGAGGAGGAGGAGGGAGAGATTGATGGACTGGGGAGATCTACGAAGGCAGTGAAACAAACGGGCGCTGCAACAGGTTGGAATTTGATCAACGCTATCAAGCAGGCCAGATACAAGCTGTGATACCTGGACGAGATGGATAGGGAGCGTGTGTGTGTGTGTGTGTGTGTGTGCAGGAATGGAGATTGTGCGTGTGTGTGTGTGTGTGTGCTGTTAATCTATTTATTTACCTGTCATTGGCTGCGATAATGGTTTTCATCCCCTCTCTCTCTCTGTCTCTCTGTCTCAGTCTATCTGGTGATGGGGGATTGGGTTTCTTGTGTCGCTTGATAATCAAACCTGTATTTTCTCATCAGACTCTAATCAGACCAATTACACGCGTGACGGAGAGCGTGGGCAGGTTGATGTAGGGGAGCGATAAGGGTGCACACACATACACACACACACAGAAACTCACACACACACACACTTTAGGATTAAGCGCTCTGTCTTGGGGTATCTGCGTCTCTTATCGGGGACAACCATCCCTGACATGACCTGTCAGCAGTCGTGTCAAAGGTGTCTCTCACGCACAAACACACATGAACACATTCACACATGGATCATGCATGCAATGCAACATGCACCAGAGACGACCCATGTCAGGAAAAGAGACCAGACTTCTTCTATCTCACCAGCTGTTGTCAGCACCCCCATCCATCTCAATCCTCGTTGTAATGCAGCGTATTCTCTTCATTCAGCAAACAGTGAAACTTTATTTGAATCTATAATTGTGCCTTTTGTGTGTTTTGTTCGGCAGGCGTATGATGGCTTTGCGAGCCTGGGCATCTCCCGTCTCCTGGAACCATCTGACATGGTGCTGCTGGCCATTCCTGACAAGCTAACAGTGATGACCTACCTGTACCAGATCCGGGCCCACTTCTCCGGTGAGGAGCTCAACGTGGTGCAGATAGAGGCCAACAGCAATCGCAGCACATACAAGGTGGGCGACTTTGAAACCGATACAAATGCCTCCATAGGCCAGGACAAGTTCTACGCCGAACTAAACGACGTGCAGCAGCGCCAGGGTACCTCTGAGCATGCGGAGTCTGCTGGTGGCGTTGACGCGGAGTCTAACGGCACCAAAGCCACTGAGGAAGAGGTGGTGGAGCCGGGTTGGAAGGCTGAAGCAGGAGCAGTTTCAGCCAGCTTGCAGACAACAGGGCCTTTGCAATCCTCACCTCCTGTCCCATCGCCACGCACAGTATTAGCCGCCTCAGCAACGGACTCAACCCATGTGACACTGCCACGCTCTGAGGACAGGGGGAATCTGCGCAAAGCCAACACGTTAGAACTCAGTGAGTTACCACAGAGAGTGGAGAGAGAGATGGAGAAAGAAAGACAGCAGAAGGAGGAGGTGGGAGATGATAGAAAGGAGGGAAGTATAGAACCAGGGTCTCCCATCAGGAGTGGGGTCTCCTCCTCCTCCTCACCACCTCACCAGAAACTGGGCTTTTCCTATAACAGGGACGCCGACCTCATCAAGAAGAAAAGGGCCAGTCTGCGTCAATCGGACTCTGAGCCCGCCTCAGACTCCTGCTCTTCTCCAGTCAACCACACAGACACGCCTCCCAAACAGGTAAACACCCAGACAAGTAATGGCATTCAGCTGAACACGCACTGAATATGTAAAAAAAAATACACGAGAAGAATCCAGTTTCTACATACATACGGTGCTGGAATATATTTATTTTTCTCAGTCACTGTGTACATCCTGGCCCACTAACCTCAGAGATGTAGAAACAGAGTGTTTTGAATATTCATAAACAAGTCCTTTAAGGGTTTGTAAGAGATTAATTAAACTATCTCACATCTAATTATAAATCGTGTACCTTAAACAACCTCTGGATCAGTCTGTATTATGTAGAATAATTCTCATCTTGCTACTTAAGTCGGGTATTAAGATTCTGACAGCGTTTACCTGCAGGTACCTGCCTGGCCCCTAAATGGATTGTTCAGGTTTTTATCCTTGCACCCTGGCTTTGATTGAAACTTTCACAGCTACATCAGTCATAAGACAGAGGATGCAGCGAACATTCATTCCCTCCTGGCACTCGCTAAGCTTCAAATCCCGACCTCGTTGATGCCATTGCAGAGATGACCGTACCGAAATTCTCCCATTCTGCATTAGATGTTGTCGTCACCTGTCTTGTTGCCAAGACTCAGACGCGTCAAGGCCGGGCCGTTAACCTGTGGCGACTATAGAAGGCACCTAGGAGAACCCCCTGCTTTGACATTTCATTATATTTTTCATTATATTTCTCATCCCTTCAGTTGATGGCAGTTGGCGCCGTGACTGCTCAGGCGTGGCGACGCTTTGCGCAGAGCACACCTCATCTCGTCTCTCAAACGCACTGGCATGGGCCTGTGTGCGTGTGCGAGACACACAGACACACATTGAATACATTGCTGCCTGCATTGGTTAACCCCAGATTACCGCTTCCTGTTTACAAGTCGAAAGGTCACGGGGCAGGCGGGGGCCAGCAGGAGGGTTATGACAGCTATGACACCCCATTTTGATCTGCTGTTATCTAGTTAGCGGGATGTATCCTCGGCTACACCCAGGCCAGGTTTCAGTGGCTGAAAGGATAAACATGTTTCGGTGTTATTAACAGCTTGACTGTAATATTCCTCTGTCTAAGCCAAATGTAAAAGCTCTGTTTGCTTTGTTTGCACCCCCTTATAACACAGGCGGGATTACCTTGCAGATAAAATTCTAAGCTAGGTGTGTGTTTTGCTTTCTTGTCTGAGCCGTCATGCTCTCCACACCACTGGGCCCAGACAGGGCTGGGAGCCTAGCTTGTACACTGTCCTGTATATCATGGGGAATATACCTTCTCCTACCTTTGTACCCACTTGTCTAAATCCTTTTCCACCACCACCACCTGCTGCTCCCTGTGCAAGGGCTACACGTGAAAGCTGTTCTTCTGTAGGGAAATACTGTGTGTGTATATGTATACACATGTTCATTTCAGTGCCATGTCACTTATTTAGGCATCGTATTTGACTAAATATTATTTTTTTACATTGTGTTGAAGAAAATACTTAATTTGCAACCTGTGACTCTTAACTGCAAGTCCAGAGATATTTTTGGTGTTTGGCTGCACACCTGTAGTTAATGTTGTGTTTTCTCTTTCAAAGGAGCCGACACCTGCTCCTGTATCAAGTCCCCCGGCTGAGAAGGTGAGTAAAATTTTGAGGATAGTTAAAGAAGGCATATGTGAACAAAATACACCAGTATTATCATATGTCTATGGTTAAAAACAACTATTTCACACCGGACGCTGACAATGAAGGACTCGTCTCTTACATCCAACAGCTGACACGCAGCAACACCTTATTTCTGACAGTTTTATCACAACTGAACGCTACCCAGTCCTGGTTCTTGTCTCTGTCGTTTTATTTGATCACGCTCGCTCTGTTTTTTCTGGCACACAGAAGGTGCTCTCCCGTCAAGAGGAGCTGAAGGAGAGAGCCAGGCTCCTCCTGGAACAGGCCCGCAGAGACGCTGCAATGAAAGCCGGCAACAAGAACGTCCCCAACTCGGCCGTGACTGCACCAACCAGGGCCACAAATGCGGCAGATGTAAGTCAGAGTGGTGGTGTGTGTATATGTGTGTATCTTTGGATCTGAACCTGTTGGCTTTCCTCAATCTAAAGAATGATACTGTCTGTCTGAAACAACACAAGCAGACAGGTCAATTCTGCAGTCATTTAAAGATGTGACACGTGGAGATAAAATCACACCTCACTCAGGTGAGGAAGACTTAAAAGTCCGCCTGGGTCTTCAGGTTTCTGACCTCTTCTTCATGTAGTATGTAAAGCCTGGCCCGAGCTTCAGCTGTGTGTCCCTGCCTTCCTCTTTGCTTCATGCGCTGGAGTGCTGTACAGCATCACCTCAGTGTGCAGCAACAGCTACTAGAGTGACCACCAGCCTTTTCAACGCCCTCATGTCACTTCCACAGTTCTGTATTTGCTGCTCACTACACTTGCAACATGCTGGAAAATCCTGTCCAAACTGTCTCATCCTCTGGCAGTCCACTTTGGTAAATCCTTTATGAGAAAGCTTGTAGAGGGAGAGAAGACTTTTCCTTAGTAACTTCTGCTGAGACTCTCTTAATGGACTGCTGAACGTCACAACCCGAACACGTCAGTAAGAAAAACCAAAATGTGGAGGGACTCCCTCTCTCCCTCTTCTCCCTATAAACATTTTCCTCTCTCTCTGGTCATTTTTAACTCAAATTTTTATGACATCCCGACCAAATTTGCTGCCACCCTCACTTTCCCCCGAACACTAAGTAAATGTTGTACACAAACACCTGTCAGCAAAAGAACATTCATGGTAAAGGGGGGGTTGAGAATCGCTGTACCGAAGCAAACTAGACTAGAGAAGACGCGAGTGAAATTGCCAGCTCTGAACTGAGCACGCTCCACTGAACATAATATACTGTGAGTGGGAGGGGGCACGCTGATGGACTAGGAGTTACCCTGGGAAAGCGCCGTGGTCAAATCCTCAGTGACGTTTCCAAATGTTTCAGAGAAAGGAAAGGAGGGTAAGAAAAAAATATGGTCTTGTGAGAATTGTGACGACAAGGGATTTGAGGGTAAAATGAAATAAATACCTTTTGGTAATGAAATATCTAAAAGGCAGCAGCCACATGCCCCTGCATTCGCTGCCTGAATCCTTAAAAAGAAATATGCCCTTGAATTAGATGTTTTTTAAAGTGTTTGTGTGTGTGTGTGTGTGTGTGTGTTGTGTGTGTGTGTGTGTGTGTGTGTGTGTGTGTGCGTGCGTGCGTGCGTGCTTATGTATTTTAAGTGTGTTGTCAGTGTCTGTCGTGTGTAGGAATGCAAGTGTGTGTTGATGTCTGTGTGCGGGCCACAGGAATAACCATTCCAGCATAATCTTAGGAAATAAATGAGGACCTTCCANCGTGCGTGCGTGCTTATGTATTTTAAGTGTGTTGTCAGTGTCTGTCGTGTGTAGGAATGCAAGTGTGTGTTGATGTCTGCGTGCGGGCCACAGGAATAACCATTCCAGCATAATCTTAGGAAATAAATGAGGACCTTCCAAGGACTGGTGGCGTTAAAAGTCTTCTGAGGCAGAAAACAAATTAAAAGACTTCTTCAAAGCTGTTGCAGCGCCGATATATTTCCTTAGCCACAAAAAAAAAAACAAGGTCCTCTTCCGTCCCTTGTTGTGCGGCAAGATGGCTGACTTCACTTAGATTAGCTCCTTAAAGTAGCCGCCCTTCTACTCCTCCTCTCTCCCTCTCCTCCTGATTTTCTTGCTCATTTCCAAGGACAATTGGTTAATAACCCCCTCACACACACACACACACGCACACGCACACAAATGCACACACTGCTCCCATGCATAAGCGAAGGAGGGAAAAGAGGAGGGGCGAGAGGAAGATATTGAATTGTTTACACTTTTTTTAATAGAAAACATTGATCAAAGGAATACGACTGGCCTTGAGGCCAACGTGCTGATAATTGTTAGTGATTCAGATTAGATTACTTGATGTCTTGTTTTGATTAGCGTGTGTGTGTGTGTGTGTGTGTCCATGTTATCAGCTGGAGAGGCCCAAGCCTTTCCCATTTAACTCTCCATCCATCTAAGTAGGTGCTTTGCGGTTTAGCATGCATAAGGTATAATTTAATTCAATTAAAGCAGGCTTCATTCTTCCAGGGAAGTGGCTAATGTGGGGGCAACAGAATGATTTGGGCTGAGGGAGAGGAGGGGGCTACGTTTGCTGTTGTAGGGATGTAGCGTTCAAAGCACATAACAAATCAGCTAGTCTGATATTCGTATATCTATTAATTATCATCGTGTTTTACTCAGAGCTGCACGAGTCAGGATTTTTATGTGACAGTGGAATTCTCTGTAGCGCTGAAATAACGAACCAATCAGAGAAATATTGAAAGATAAAATCAAAATAATCGTTAGCTGTAGCACTAATCAAATGTCCAATCACAATAGAAGCGGGTCAGGTGTGATCTCTGGTGGGAAATCTCCTCTGCCCATCATGAATCCAAACTTCACATTAAATAGAAAACTTTTCAACCAAGAGTCTCCGAGCAGCAGTTAGTCAGAGAAGTCGGGATTCACTCACAAAGTGTGGACCTTCTGAAGATGTGAGTTCTCTGGAACGAAAAAAGAAAAATCTCACCTCTATAAGTTCTTCATATGACATATGACTGCTGCCTGTCATGCACCTGCACTTGCCCTGATTTCTTCTCATCTTAAAGCTCCTTCACACCTCTTACCTGAGTATATACTGTATCTCCTAATATAAAGTCTCCACACCTCTGATTGTCTGTCAGCTTTTTTAAAAATAAGATCAAAGTGAGACTCAACAAAATATGAAGAGTCTTGTACTTTTCTCTTTTTACAGGAATAACATCAACATCTTTTTTTTTTTAGTTTTAGATTTCTTTTCTAATCATGGAGATGTAGGAAGATTTTCTGCTGTTACAGTCTTCACACTAACTGCTAACACTGCACGCACCAAACCAAAAACATCTGATGTATTATTACAACAGTAGTTTCATATATATACTGTATATATACATCTAAATATCCACAGCTACAGTGACTGCCATCAGCATGAATGTAGCTGGTTGCCGAACAATATGTTGGGGGTGTGTGTGTGTGTGTGTGTGTGTGTGTGTGTGTGTGTGTGTGTGTGTGTGTGTGTGTGTCCATCTGTGTGTGTGTATGTGTGTGTGTTTAGCCCTGTTCTCTTGACCTATGCTCTCCCTCCTGCCATCCCTAATTGTAGCCCACAGTGACTGGTTCTTTCATCTAAGGTCACAGGTTCACTTTTCTCTCTTTCTCTCCATCCCTGTCTTCTCAGTCACTTTCTCTCTCTCACTCTGTCGGCCTTTTTATGTCCATCGTCTTTTTTCATTTTCTTTCTTTTCCCGTCACTTTGTCTTTTTGTTTCTTGTCTTCTGTCTGTTCTTTCTATTTCTCTGTTTCTCTGCTGCATCTCATCCTCTTGTTCCTCTTCTCTCTCGTCTGTCCTACTCTGTGGTCTCTGATGGCGAGCACTACGACTAATTGTTTTGAGCCCTCCTCCTCCTCCTCCACCTCCTCCACCTCCTCCTCATAGGTGGCCTTCAAAACATATCAGTAGTCGCAGTGCTGATGTCTTGTAATGTTGTAATGTCACCACCCCCTACCCACACAGCAGCCAGATGGGTAATTAATGAGCTTTCCTAAAATATCCAGGGCTAGGACTCTATTTTATCCTTATTGCAGACATCCCAATTTTGTTTTAGTCTTTCTCTCGTAGTCTTTCCCACTGGTATTTTAATAGAGAAGTGAGTGTGTGTCTGTGTGCGTCTGTGTCTATTCGCTTCAGGTCTTTTCATCCATTAGCAGATGAGAACAGTAATTTCACACCGGCCTGGCCAGGCTAATTATCAGGATCCACACTAGGTTTGGGAGAAGTGTCTCTTTGTGTGTTTGTGTGCATGTGGACACACAAGCATGTGCTCCTATGTGCATTTGTGTGTATTTCTCACCAAAAATTGTACAGCAGAAATATGTGTGTGCAAGCATGTTGCACCTGTGCACTTTTGCATTCCTTTGAACATTAGTGTGTGTGTGTGTGTGTGTGTGTGTGTGTGTGTGTGTGTGTGTGTGTGTGTGTGTGTGTGTGGTACGCATTGAAGAGTGCACGCACATGCCTTGGTGTTTTCCAGGTAAGAGAGTTCCCCTGCTCACTGACTCGTTGTGATTCCTATAATTGGGTCCTGTTTGATTTTTGCCGACCGGCACCCCAACNCAGTTGTTTTCTCCTTGTTTCCCTCCCCTCCTCAGCCCCCCCCCCCCCCCCCTCTCCCCCCTCTCCTCCTCCATCGCTCCCTCTCCTCCTCTCAGGAGTGGAGGGGTCTCCTGCGTCTCTGCTGTTGTGACCTGTGGGTGTTGTCATCTACTCCCATCTGCCGTCTGTCCTCTGATCCTGACTTAACTGCATTCATGTCCTCATTTTGTCCCTGCGCCCCCTCCCTCTCTTTCTTTCTGTCTTCTGTTATTTCTGATCATACATTCATATCATATATTATCCAAGTGATAATAAAAACTATCTTTGTTTATCAGAGGCACATTATAGTGGAGTACTTGTTCTCTGGCTGTTTTGGATTTGATGGCCAAACACTGAGAACTTTTGAAAGGTGCCATGCCTGTTAACAATCAGGCAGCCAACTAATCACAACAAAGAAACAGGGGTTACCAGTGTGGCCGGTGTTGAGCGTTGGCCATACTTGTTAAGAGCGACATGTTATCATTATAACTAAATTTTAAAGTTTCCTTATTCAAAAGCTCACAGTATTTGCTCAAACTGCAGCAGTGACGTCACTTCTTCCACAGTGAATACCAGAACACTGAGAGTGAACTTTTACTCCCCTACCCAGAAAATAAATAAATAAAATAAATGCATCTAATCCGACGATCAGAATGCAAATATTCTAATTCCAGTGGATTTTAAGCCTGTGTTTAAAAAAAAAAAAAAAAGCCACGATTTTCTTCTCATGGACTCAAGCATTGAAAAGGCTACCAGTAAAGGGCTGTCTTTG